GCTTCATACATGCCAGTGAGTGCTCTGCCACTCACTACATCCCCAGCCCTGGAGTGAATTGATTTTTGTAGAACTCCAGTTTCACATCATCATATTTGTTAAAAAGAATATCTCAGGAGAAGCACGGTGGGTGGATGGGGAAGGGAATTGAAAATAATCAAGATATGTTCTATATATGCACCAGTCCCCCAAAACGAATATAAATATTATGTATCACAAATACAAGTGAATTTTTAAAAATCTCTTCTCCCTGTCTCCCTCAGTCATAAATCAAATATATTAAGGAATTCTGAAAACTCAATAGTAAAAAACCAAATAACCTGGTTTAAAAATGGGCAATATATCTAAATGGATATCTCTCAAAAGAAGATATACAGAGAGGGTGGTGCACGCCTGTAATCCCAGCAGGAGGTGCACCATTAATTCAAGGTCAAGCTGGAGCTACATAGTGAGGTCAAGGTCAGCCCAAACTACAAAGTGAGACCCTTTCTTTAAAAAACAAATAAAGAAAAAGGAAAGAAAGAAAGAAAAATGGCTAAATGGCTAACAGATATATGAAAAAGCTTGATATCACTATCAGAGGAATGCAAATCAAAATTACAAGATAGGGGCCGGGGATTTAGCTTAGCAGCATAAGCTAAGATAGTACCTCATCCCTATAAGAATGGTGAATATTAAAAGGACTAAAGATGATAAATGCTGGCAAGGAAGGATGTGGAGAAGAGGGAACCTTTGCACATTGTTGGTGGAAATGTAAATTATGCAGCTGTTGTGGAAAACGGAATGCAAGTTCCTTAAAAAGTTAAAAATAAGGCTACCGCAGTACCCAGCGGTTTCATTATATATAAAAGGTAAGGAAGAAATTGGTATGCCGAAGGGCTGTCTGCGCCACAGTGTTTATGGCAGCACTATTCACAGCAGTCAATAATTGGAAACTACTAAAGCGTTCATTAATAGATGGGTGTATAAAGTGTGGTACATATACGCAAAGGAATACTACTCAGCCATAAAAAGAACGAAATCCTCTGTCTAAGCAAGTACTACTTGATGTCACTTGTGTATGGAGTTTTCTGTTGTTGCTGTTACTGTTGTTGCTTGTGCACTGGAGATGAACCAAGAGCCTTTGCACTGAGCTACATCCTGAGACTGTTTTGTTTTCTTTGATTTTTTGAGGCAGGTCTTGCTATGTAGTTCAAACTGGCTCTCTATATAACCCAGACTGACCTTAAATTTATGTTGATCCTTCTGACTCAGCCTTCTTAGTATTGAAATTACAGGTGTGCACCACCATGCCCAGCTGAGCACGTTTTATTTTGAGACAGGCTTAGGCTAAATCACTAAATTGGCCAAACTGGGTTTGAATTTGCAGTCTTTCTGCCTCAGCCTCCCAGAGTACTAGGATTACAGGAATGCACATCCTTGCCTCACTGAAACTAATTGATGTTGTAGAAGCTGAGGGTGGAATGGTGATTATGCCAGAGGCTGGACATAGTGGGTGAGGAGCATGACAAGGAAGAAGATGCATCAGTGGATATTTAGTTACCGTGAGATAGGAGCCCAAGCTCTAGGTGCTATATTGTTCAGTATGATGACTGCAGATAATTATTTACTGTGTATTTCAAAGAGCTGGGGGAGATTTTGAAACTTTTCACCAGCCTGGCATAGTGGTGCACTTGGGAGGCTAAGGCAGGAGGATAGATGGACATAAGTTCGAGCTCAATCTGGGCTACATAGTGGGGATACTGTTTTTTTAAAAAAAGAAAAACAAAGCTTTCACTACAAATGATAAATATTTGAGACAAATATCTGTAATGGATTCAGGCATTAGGCAATGTATACATGCATCAAATATTGTATGGCACCTGTATGTAACTTGGGTGTTTTTGTGTATCAGTTAAAATATTCATTAAAAATGTGAAAAAGCATATTGGATCATAAAGGAAACAAATTACATTCAAGTACAGAGCTGGGGATATAGCTCAGTGATAGTGTATGCCACCAAAAGGAAAAAGAGAAAAAGACATAAAGGTATCAATACAAAGAAACAAGTTTGTGATCTAATAATGTGTCTCCATTAAAACACTAAACAAGATGTAACCACTATAATATCCAACTGTGATAGCATTTTGAGCTGTCTGCAACAAATATGTTGGATTCCGTAGTGATACAGTCACAGGTACAAGGACATTTAAAAAAAGTCCAGGTGAAATTGTGACAAATGTTATTTTAACTTGATTCTTTTCCCCTCATCCCTTACCCTCCCTTTAACTTCTCTTCCTCTTTTTACAGATGCCTTTTTTCCATTTTTTTTCTTCTTTTCTCATTTTTTTAAAGCTTTTCTCTTTCTTCCTGTTTCCCCACTCCCTTATTCTCTTTCCCAGTTGAATATTTTCTTCCTATTTCCCATTATCTCTTACACATTTTGGTATATATTATTCGGTACATATTATTTACACTTTTTATTTCTCATACCAAAGAAACATCACAGTATTTACACAGGTGTCCAGTTTCTTTCACTTTAGAGTATGGTCTCAAAGTGCATCCATGTAGCTAAAAATGTCTCAACTTTATCCTTGTTTATGGCAGAGAAGTACTCCATTGTATACAAAATAAACCCCATCTTCTTTATCCACCCACCAGTTGATGGGCAAATGGGCTGTTTTCAAGATTTGGCTATTGACTGTGCATCTATAAACACGCGTATGCATATATCTCTGTGGTGTGATGCTTTTAATTCTTTAAGGAAGATACAGAGGAGGAAAGTAAAACTTAGTCAAATGGGACTTGTAGTCCTAGTTTTTTGAGGAATCTCCACACTGATTTCCATAGTGGTTGGCAAATGTTATTTTATTTATTTATTTAGTACCAGAATTGAACTTATGACCTCACACTTGCCAGGCAGGCGCTTACACTGCTGAGCTAAATCCCCAGCCGGCAAATGTTATTTTAAAAAGCTGTGAATATTTAAAAAGTGCAAAGACTAATACTAGTATAAGACTTGCATTCTTATTTTGTTGTTTCATATTTTACTAAAGTAAGAGAAATAAAACAATACAGATAAACTAACATCCTCTTTCTTCCCCTGTACTCCGAGTCCAGAGCACTGTTACACATCTTTCTTCCCCCTTTTCAGTTTTATTCCCTTCCTTTTTTCTCTGAGGAATTTTCCTCCATTCTAGTTTGTGTATGTCTTTATTTCATCTTTAAGGTTGTTTTGTTTTGTTTTGTTTTTGCGGCAATGTCTCACTATGTGCAGGCTGGTCTTGAACTCACTTTATAGTCCAGGCTGACCTTGAACTTACAGTGATCTTCCTGCCTCAGCCTCTCTTGAGTGCTAGGATTATAGTTGTGTGTCCACCATGCCGGCTTCTTTTTAAATTTAATTGTTTAAAGAATAGGTGATACATGCACATGTTATAAAATTCAAAAGGAGCATGCCAGGAAAGTGGCCCAAACAACTGTAAGCCCAGCACTGGGCAAACGGAGGTAGGAGGATCACCACAGGTTGGAGGCCAGGCTGGAATATCTAGTGAATTTAAGGCCAACCTGAACTATATATTGTGAAGACCTTGTCATAGGGAAAAAACTTTTTTCAAAAGAAGTAGAAGGGGCTGGGGTTTTAGCTCAGCGGCGTAAGTACCTGCCTTGCAAGTGCTCGGTTGTGAATTTGTTCTGCGGTACCGATAAAGAAAATAAAAGGAAAGGAATAGAAGCTCTATTTTTGCTTCTGACTACTTATTTTCCTTCTTCAGAGCAACCACAAACGCTGATTTTTATATGTCCTTTTAGAGCTCTCTGACGGGTGTCCAGATGTCTCATCAGGCCATGGTGTTGGTGCTGTTTACCTGACTGTTCACATAACAGTGCATATTGAGCATTTTCAACTTCAATGCTAAGTCATGTTCTATTATTTTGTGTTTTGGGGCAGGAATTTTGGTGCTGGGGATTGAACCCAGGGCCTTGTGCATGCTAAACCCTTGCCTTACCACTGAGCTACACCTCTGATGCTGCCGTGTGTTATTTTATTTAGCTGACTTATGATGGATATAGACTCAAGCTGTTTCTGTTCTTTTGCCATTATAAACAGTGTTGCAATAAATAATCTTACATGTGATTTTTGGGAACAAGTGAAGTGGAATTGCTACTATAAAATTTTGATAAGCCTCCACGGAGGCTAATTTCTATTCTGACCAACAACATATAAAAATCCCCCCATATTCCTCACAGTGCAGTATTTTCACACATTTTAATTTTCACCAGTCTAAAGGTTAAAGAATTCTATCTTCCTATGATTTTATTTTGCATTCATTTTATTAAAAGTGAGGTTGAGGTCTTTTTGTTTTTTTGTTTTTTTTTTTTTTTTTGTCTTTTTCCTTTTTATCGGTACCAGGGATCGAACTCACGACTGCCTGCTTGCAAGGCAGGTGCTTACGCCACTGAGCTAAACCCCCAGCCCCGGTCTTTTTGTTTTTAAAGGCCCTCTATTTTCTCTGTGTGATCTATTGTTTGTCTTTTGCCATACACCTACAGGGTTACGCATTTCCTACTGGTTTGGAAAAGTTTTATGTGTATAAAGCAATTAACTCTTTACTTATGTCTTGTATAGAAATACATATCTCAATGTGTTGCTTCTCTCTTGCTCGATTTGATTATTTTTACCCTACAGAACTTATCTATTTTTCTGAAACTTTGAAATTTTTTATTTCATATCTTCTAGATTTTGTGTTATGCTTCAAAAGCCCTTCCTCAGTCCAAGGTTTAAAAAACCATTTTCCATCTTTTCTCCTGCTACTATAAGCTTATTTTTTTCTTGCTTTTCTTTTTTTGTTTTGTTTTGGCTTTTTGAGACAAGATCTCACTGTGCAGTTCAGGTTGGCCCTGACCTCACTTTGTAGCCCAGGCTGGTGTCGAACCCAACAATCCTCCTGCTTCCTGAGTCCTGAGATTATAGGCGTGCACCCCCACATCTGGCTTCAATATAAGATTCTTTCTTTTTTTTTTTTTTTTTTTTTTTTGGTACCAGGGATCAAACTCACAACCTCATGTTTGCTAGGCAGGGGCTTATGCTGCTGAGCTAAATTCTCAGCCCTATAAGGTTATGTTTTATACCATCTGAAATTGTCTTACATGTAAGAAGCAGCATTAAGAACCCCACTTACTTTTCCCATAGATGATTCCTTGACCGTCCTTTAAGATTAATAAACCACCTTTTCCATGGAGAGTTTGTTTTCGATGAGAAAAAAAAAAGAACAAGAAAAATTATATTACAAAGTCCAGCAAAATAACATATTTTTATTAACTGAGTGATGCTCTTAATACATTTTACCCAAGAGCCTCCCCCTCATTTAAATATATATTTAAATAAACATTCAGGAAAATGTACCTTGTCCTTCTTGGATGCACAGTTGGATAAGCAGCCACCATGCCCAAGATAGCAGCCCCATCGTCTTTCTCAACAGATGCCCCACTTAGTGGTTCACTGTGCAGCTTTTCATCTTGAGGGTGATGCACAGGAAATACACGCTCAGTAGGAATTGTGCCTCACATTTCAACTTTGGATCTTTTCCTGGACCAGTGATAAGCAATCAGCCCTCTCTCCAGATGTGGAGCAACCATGCGACTTGAGCCACAGCACCCAGCCCACCATGATATAATCACAAGGGGCAACGGCCAGAGCTTGACAGCGCTGTGCTGCTGAGCTGAGCTGTTAGCAGCTGAAGTGTTTAAAATGCAGTTTTCGCACTGTGATATTTTCACCTCACGATGGCTTGGTGGGAACATAGCCCTCTCATAAGCCAACAGATATCTCTGTCTTCTCTGCCCTGCCCTCTGCGGAGTATACCCTCCCCATACCCACTGCTGTTTCCTGCCCATACCTTCCCACTTAAAATTCCTGGGAATGGTCGTAAGTGTTAAAGGCTCCCCAGGAGACCCTAATTTGAGCCATGGGAGCCATTGCTAAAGGGTATTGCTTCATAATTGGCAGGAACTTGCTTTGTACCAGAGGATTCTGAGTTGTGAGCTGCAGGGGGCCTCGGGTCAGACTAATAATAGTGACAGTCTTGCGACAGACAGGTACCAGGCTGGGCCGGCTCTCTCACTCTTCACAGCAGTTGCATGGAGTGAGTCTGTCAGCCCTTCTGAGATTGAAGTTAGAGATTGCATACTTCGCCTGAAATAGATAGCAAGTGCACAGTGCAGCCAAGACTTGGGTCCCACAGGCTAATTGCTCCTTGGCTGGATACTCTTGCCTCCTGCCCCACAAAGTGGGATAACCTGCCTCCACCATACCAGCCTGCAGTGAGAATCCTCATCCTCTCACATCCTCAGAAAGTTCCTAGTACAGCTTCTCACTTGGGACATAAATATCCCTAAACTTTGGGGATGATTTGGTGGAGACCTCAGGTCAGTGAGTAGAGCAAGCCCAGTGCCTGGGGTGGGCTGGGTCAGGCTGGGTGTGCCGAAGTCCTCTGTTTCTGTTTGCTGATGACATCTTTCCTCCCTCAACGCTGGATGGAGCCTCCTCTGTTTCTCCCCATCTGATCTCCTGTTTCTTCCTCTGGCTCTGGAGTTCCTGGCTCCTCTGACTACCTCTCTCCTAAAGTCTCCACCTCTCCCCTCTCTCACCTCAGCTTGGTAAGGAAACAAGTTTTGGGGGGCTGGACAAAGGGAAGCATCTTCTTATTCTGGTGAATGGGCCGTGGGAGGGGTGGATGCATAGAAGAGACCTGTAACTGGTTTTTAAATACCCTGAAATGCATGGCAGCACATGCCTATAATCCCAGAACTCTGGGAGGCTGAGGCAGGAGAATGGTAAGATCAAGCCCAGCCTCAGAAACTTAAAACCCTGTCTTACAATGAGACATCAAAAGGACTGGTGATACAGCTCAGTGTGAAGGTCCTGGGTTTAGTCCCCAGTACCATGAATAAATAACCCTGCATTTCTCAACCAGGGCACTACCACTGCCTAGGGTGGGAATTTGGAAATGGGCACTTTTTGAAACTTTTTGAAGCTGAATTATAGTACACGTATAGAAGAGTGCATAGATCATATGCTGATTTTCATAAGATAAATACATTTATTCATGTAGCCAGCACCAGATCAAGAAATACAGCATTTTCTCCATCCCAGAAGCACCTCTCAGGCCTCTTCCAGCCACCACTCCTGGAGTGGGGGGTGGGGGGGAGTGGGCATTTGTGGCAGGTGTTGTCACAGTCACTTAAGGGTTCTGCTGGCATTTAATGGGCAGGGTCTTAGGATGCTAGATGTCCTAAGGCATGGGCCTGCCCTACAACATAAACAATTGCTCCTCCCAGACGTCCCATTGAGAAACACTGCCTGACAGTTCTGAGCAGTGATAGCCTGCAGTGTGGCAAACCCTGTGGTCAGAAGGTGCACCTGGGTCAGTGGGTCAGAACAAGGAGGGGTCTTCCCACAATGTGCCCCACTGTCACCACCCTCAGGCCTCCGGAATGCCCCCCGCTGCTGGGCAGTGATCCAGCCCCTACTCTGTGCCGTGTACATGCCCAAGTGTGAGAATGACCGAGTGGAGCTACCCAGCCGCACCCTGTGCCAGGCCACGCGAGGCCCATGTGCCATTGTGGAGCGGGAGCGGGGCTGGCCTGACTTCCTGCGCTGTACCCCCGACCACTTCCCTGAAGGCTGCCCGGTGAGTCCTCTAGGGGGTAGAATGCGGCCTATCTGACCTGGCATGAGGCAGGATCCCAAGATGCAGGGGAGATCTTGTGACTATACCAGTGGGATCTACAAAGCACAAACCCAAACTGCAACTCATGAACCAATCCATCATCACACTTTGTTTGATCCAAGATAACATATTTGGTAGTAGAGTGTGGTACTGTAATCCCAGCACTCAGGAGGCTAAGGCAGGAGGATTACCCCAAATTCAAGGCCAGTGTGGGCTACATAGTGTGTTCAAGGCCAGCCTGAACTATGTAGTAAGACCCTGTCTCATAAAACACAAGAAGCAAAAACAGCAAAAACCCAAGATAATATGTTGTTCAACAAATACTTGAGTCCCTACACTGGTAGAGGTGGGATCATACAGAAGTCATAAATAACAAGAGGCTGTCCTTAGGGAGTTTATCACATGTGTAAGAATCAAAATGTGCACATATTATTTCAGTTACTATCCCCACAGAAATTGAGAGAAATTGCTATGACTGGAAGGTTTTCAAGTCCTAATTAAAATTTGATTTATGACAGTATTCATAATTATCCTGAAATGCATTCTACAGTAACTTCTGAGTTTTTGTAATATTTTAGACTTTTTATGTGCAGCAGCTTACATGTCTGAAGTTACTTGAAGGCACCACTTTTAACAGAGCTTACAATTGGGCCCTGTACCACCCCAAATCTTCATAACTCTTCTTGGATAGTTTTGCTGTAATTATAAAAGGGTAGTTGAATAAACAGCATCACCATTTCATTGCTGGTTGTAAACTTAAGGGAAGTTTACCTGCAGCATCAAATGTTTCAGCTTTAAAAAAAAAAAGTAGGGCACAAGTTACATGCTTACTTTGGAAAATGTGTGCAATATATTCATAACTGATGGCTGTGGTTGACACAAAGTGCCTTATTTACCTTTAAATACTGTTAATGTGTCATGCATGCAGATGGAAGGGGCGAAGCTGTGCACTCAAGTGGGGGCTTTAACTGTAGTATTTGGCAGAGTTGCCTTCTAGCTACCAGTTCAGAAGTTCAATCTGTTTATGCAGTGTGTATGTGTGTGTATATATATGTAAATTTTCAATCTGTTAAACAGCCTACCCTCAGCTATTCTTGTGCAGCAGTGGCTCAGTGTGTAAACACTGTGCACTGAGGACACACACATATACACATGCACAAAAAAATGAAGTGTACAGAATAATGCCTCATACCAGTCAGATGTCCATGTGCTACTGTATTTGTTAACAAAGAACCATTTTATCTCTTAGTGTTATAAATTCCACTTAAAACTTATTAAAGTCTCATTCTTATAAAAAAAGAAAAGAAAAAGAAAACATGGGCACAAGTCATAGATGGAAACACCAAAATGGGTATGCATCTAGTCTGGGTGGGAAAGGAGAGGTCTGAAATGATAATAATGACAGTAATAATACTAATTACTATCACTCATTATGGATGTCAGATACCATTAGAGCACTTTACATGTATATATTCATTTAACTGTTACATCTCAATACACGTCTCACTACTGAAGGACACGTGCCAGGCATAGGTGAGGACCAGGACCCAGACCACACCAGCCAGCGGGCCTGTATACATGACCCAGGACAGGGTCTTGTAGTACCATGTATGTTATATAGTAGTACTTTATGGGTGCTATTATTTTATGGCTGGGGAAACTGAGGCACAGAGAGGCCACATAGCCCAAGGCTGCACAGCCATTCAGTGGCAGGGCCAGAATTTGAATCCTGGAGTCCCACCTCAGCCACCCTGTGTGCTGCCCTCAGGGCCATTTCCTAAGCTAGAGGCTCACCCTGAGCTGCCTCTCTCCTTGGCTGGTGCCAGAATGAGGTGCAGAACATCAAGTTCAACAGCTCAGGGCAGTGCGAGGCGCCCTTGGTGCGGACCGACAACCCCAAGAGCTGGTATGAAGATGTGGAGGGCTGCGGGGTCCAGTGCCAGAACCCGCTGTTCACCGAGGCGGAGCACCAGGACATGCACAGCTACATCGCCACCTTCGGCGCCGTCACGGGGCTCTGCACACTCTTCACCCTGGTCAGTAGCGGGGAGGGCAGGCTGCCGCGTGAGCTGGGCTCCGGATGGGGTGGACTCGGTGGGGGTCCCAGGGACGGGCGGGGTTCGGGGTGGGGGTGGGGGGAGGCAGTAGCAGAATGAGCCTCACCTTGCAGAGCTGCTGTTTGTGTCTCCAGGCCACCTTCCTGGCTGACTGGCGGAACTCCAACCGCTACCCCGCGGTTATTCTCTTCTACGTCAATGCGTGTTTCTTCGTGGGCAGCATTGGCTGGCTGGCCCAGTTCATGGATGGTGCCCGCCGAGAGATCGTCTGCCGAGCGGATGGCACCATGAGGCTTGGGGAGCCCACGTAAGTGTCTTGGGGACCCAGAAGAGGGGGAGGGGAGTTGCAGTGTGCACTTGCCACAAGAGAAGGATGAGACTTGAAAGCCTGAGATTTGGTTGTTGGCATCTATTAATCTATTAAAGGGGCATCTTCTGGAGCCACTTTCAGGCTGTTTTAGGCACTGTCTCCAAACTCCTGGGAACCCTCCAAACCTTAGCAGCTCAGACTCTGGAGACAAGGTGGTGAGACCCGAGGGAGCACAGAGTGACCTCAGATGATCCCGTGTGTCTGCACAGCTCCAACGAGACCCTGTCCTGTGTCATCATCTTTGTTATTGTATACTATGCCCTGATGGCTGGTGTCGTCTGGTTCGTGGTCCTCACCTACGCCTGGCACACGTCCTTCAAAGCCCTGGGCACCACCTACCAGCCCCTCTCGGGCAAGACCTCCTACTTTCACCTGCTCACCTGGTCACTCCCCTTTGTCCTCACTGTGGCAATCCTCGCAGTGGCCCAGGTACAGTGACTGATCAGGGGCTGGGGACCTAAGTGGAGTAGGCTTGGAGGCTGTGACTGACCATCCCTCCCATGCCTTCCTGCCTCAGGTGGATGGGGACTCAGTGAGTGGCATCTGTTTTGTGGGCTACAAGAACTACCGATACCGTGCTGGCTTTGTACTGGCCCCAATTGGCCTGGTACTCATCATGGGGGGCTATTTCCTTATCCGAGGTGAGTGTGGGCCGGGCTGGAGTGATGAGGAAGTAGGAGTAAAGTGGTCAGCTCTGCTGCCTGCCCGCTTAGACCACAGCCAACTCATCCAGGGCCTTAGTGCAGAGTAGAACAAATGACCCTTGGTGATGAATCTATGGCACACATGCCATGGCTGGCTGCTTATCATTAAAAGCTCTGAAAGGTTCTATGGTGGCTCTGAGAAAAAAAAAAAAAAAAAAAAAAAAAAAAAGCTCTGAAAGGTTTGTCATCTCTGTTCTAGGCAGATGCTGGAGCATGAATTCTTGCTACAAGATAGTACATCTGTTGGCAAGAAAAGTGCACCCCTTCCTTCAGAGCTTGGGGTTGGGTTCTGGCCACTATTCCCTCTTGGCAGGGTGCAGTTATGTGATGAACATCTGGGTGATCTACCCTGACTACATGGACCAATGTGTTCCATTTTTTGTAGCTTGGTTTCCATCTCGTTCATACCCACAACATAGTTTTCATAGCATGAACTGGTCCCTAACTTCCCAGATCCAATCTGCTACTCCTCAATAAGCCTTCTTAACTTACTCATTCTCTTTGGGTTTTCTTTTGTTGGTTTCAGTTTTCTCCTACGGAACTGTCAGTTGTTCAGCCTTCTTTCCTCCCTTTCTGGCAGTGTCTTGACATCTGACTAATTTTTGTACTGTACAGCAGTCCTGTACAGTAACCACTGCCTGCATGCACTGAAACTAGTCCAGATTGAGATGTGTCACAAGTGTTACATGCTGCCTTTCAAGGACTTAGCACCAAAATAATAATAAGTAAAAGACCTTATTAACACGGAGATATTTCTCATTGTTACATGGATTATGTGTTCTAACAATTATATTTTGGGTAAATTACGTTTATAAAACATTTAGCTTCATTTTTTTTTTTTTTTACTATGTCTACTAGAAAATAAGAAATTCTGTTTGAAGCTCTCATTATATTTCTGTTAGGCAGTGCCTTTCTTGAGTCTGTGTCAGAATGCTTTATGCTTTAAGCTGTCAGAACAGCTTTGACTTGGCCATCTTCCTTGGGGCAGCTGGCCCAAGACTGAGACTTCCCCTCTGTGTTCTCTGCTTTGTGCTCTACCCCAGTCATTCCAGTCCAGGACAAAATTAGCACCAGCCACTCTCCCATTCTCTGGTGTCTCTAGTTCACCAGGCTCTACGTCAGCCCAGCCATGATTAAACCTAGGATTGCAGGGCCGTCTTGCTTCCCTCTGAAAAGAGTGGCCTCCCTTGCTAACATCTGAGGTTCCCCCTTGTGTTCAGGAGTCATGACTCTCTTCTCCATCAAGAGCAACCACCCTGGACTGCTGAGTGAGAAGGCTGCCAGTAAAATCAATGAGACCATGCTGCGCCTGGGTGAGTGGCCCCCAGGGGACCTTAGATCCGAAGTCCTGGTCAGTCCTGGTCAGATCCTCCATGACGAAGTCGTTTGTTGAGATGCAGTAGCACGGGACAGGTTCTGTGTGTGGCAGTGGTAGTGGTGCAGCTCAGAAGAAGGGCTTTCTCAGGTGAAGAATCCAAGTTCATGCCCAGCAGGACTGCTTCCCCTGGCCCCTCTCCTGTTTGGGAGGATGCAGTTCTTGACCTGAGCCCCAGTGCGAATTCACCACAGACTTGGCTGTCTTTAGCCCTCAATGGGGCAGCCATCCCGACCTCAGCTGCATGATGTCTGTGCTTGGCAATGTTCCAACTGCCCCTGTCTTCTACAGGGATTTTTGGCTTCCTGGCCTTTGGCTTTGTGCTGATCACCTTCAGCTGCCATTTTTATGACTTCTTCAACCAGGCTGAGTGGGAGCGCAGCTTCCGGGACTACGTGCTGTGAGTGAGGGGCCTGGGCTTGGGGGCAGCAATGATGGGAGCTGGAGGCCTGGCTGGAGGGACAGAAGCCTCTCCATTGTGCACCAGGGGTCTGCCAGGCCCCTGCTCAGATGAGACTGATAGCATCTGGGTACCATGATAGGACCTGCTCTGTATTTGGCCAGACACGGCAAACAGCCGTCTTATCCCTGCTCAGCTCTGCATTCCATCTTCCCCTCATGGCTGTCTGGCTGATGCCTTTGCATGTATTAAGCCATTTTCATACTTCGACGACTCTGACCAGCTCTGGGCTGGCCACAGAAGTTGGATTCTCTGTGTGCCTTCTACGGAGCTCTCTGTAGATCCCTGCATCTGTAGGCTAATTTGACAACCCTTTCATGTTCGCTAGTTTTCCTGATTCTTCTGTACCTTCCAGTGAGGATGAAAGGAGAGTGAGCATATTCAGTGCCAAAAGAAGTGCAGCATCTGCTGTTACGAGCACAGCAGTTAAAATGCTCAAGAAAATAGATACTGCCCTGACTGCTTCAAGCTCACCCCCCACCCCATTTCAGTACTGGGGATAGATCCAGGGCCTTCACACTGTGCTCTATCCTCAGCCTTTTAAAAATTCTTAAGACAGTGTCTAGCTAAGTTGCTGAGTTGCCCAGGGCTCTAGTTATGATCCTTCTGCCTCAGCTTCCCAGAGTATTGGGATTAAAGGCATGTACCACCATGCCCAGCTAAAGCTCCATTTAAAAGGTGCCAGATTTCAACCTGGGCTGCTTTAACCCACAGTAATTTCTGGGCCCTTGCCCCAGAAGTTTGATGTAATTGCCTGGGGCGGGGCCCAGACAGCAATAGTTTGTCAAAGCTCCCTGGGTGGTAACAAAGAGCACCTTGAGGGTCTGAAGATGTAGCTCAGTGGTAGAGGACTTGCCTACCACATATGAGGCCCTGGTTCCATCCCAGCACCAAACCAAGGAACCAGTGCAAGGGGCTCAGCTCTCTCCAGTCTTTGGATTGATAGTCTGGGTACCTAACCACTGGACTGATCCTCCCTCACCACAGATGCCAGGCCAATGTGACCATTGGGCTGCCCACCAAGAAGCCCATTCCTGACTGTGAGATCAAGAATCGCCCCAGCCTCCTGGTAGAGAAGATTAACCTATTTGCTATGTTCGGGACCGGCATTGCCATGAGCACCTGGGTTTGGACTAAAGCCACTCTGCTCATCTGGAGGCGCACCTGGTGCAGGTAGAGTCAGTAGCCAGCCCATCCTACTGCTCCAGTCTTACAGGGCCGGAGATGTAGCACAGCAGCGCATTTCTTGCCTGGCAAACTCAAGCAAGTTAGTGAGTTTGATTCGCTGTACCAAAAAAACCTGCCAATCTTACTGTCAGCCTCAGCACCCCACCCCTGTTTAGGTTTAGCAGTCCTTTTCCTGCACTAATCTGTGGCAGCAATTTTTCAGGCCTTCTCTGTGGCTCGCCACTGCCCCCTGGTGACACCTAGGCCTGGCTCAGTGTTTCATCAGCGTTCTCTTCTGTGAATGAGTGATTTGAGGGCCAGGCACACAGGAGCCTCACATGCCAGGCTCACTTCATCACAGGGCAGGTTTGTCCTCCTCAGAAGCCACGAGGGGCCTGAGGCCTTGCGTTGTCTCCTTCTCTGAAAGGAATGGCATCACTGGTCTTTGACAAGATTTGAGGGGAAGCGGCTACTCTTCCACTTCCTGGTGTCACTCTTTCTGCTCTTAGGCTGACTGGGCAGAGTGATGACGAGCCTAAAAGGATCAAGAAGAGTAAGATGATTGCCAAGGCTTTCTCCAAGCGGCGTGAGCTACTGCAGAACCCAGGCCAAGAACTGTCCTTCAGCATGCACACGGTCTCCCACGACGGGCCAGTGGGTGAGGCTCGGCTCTGTCCTCCTGCCCAGCCCTGGGTCCTCCAGGACACATGGGTTGTTTGGCAGAATCTGCCGCTCCCTCATGCTTTCTCTTCTCCAGCCTCCCATCTGCTTTCCCTCTGATGGGCCTGCATGCCAGGGTTCTGTGAGGTTCTCATCCCTCTGTCTTCCTGTCTGCCTTCTCCAAGTGCTCTCCTTTGGTCAGAGCAAGCCAGGCTTCTGAGGCTGCTCCCCTGAGATTCTGAGTGGGTAGAGATCACTGCAGGTGGTGTGGGGAAAATGAGTGATGCTTCCTAAGGGAGGAGTCACCAACAAGGACTAGCAAGTCATGGTTCCTTCTTTCCTTATGTCTCCAAAGCGGGTTTGGCTTTCGACCTCAATGAGCCCTCTGCTGATGTCTCATCTGCCTGGGCCCAGCATGTCACCAAGATGGTGGCTCGAAGAGGAGCCATACTGCCCCAGGATGTTTCTGTCACCCCAGTGGCAACTCCAGGTAAGAGGGTTCTGTAGAGAGGTAGGGGTGCACAGGGACTAGACCTCTCTGGGCTGAAGTATCAGGGGCTGCCAGAGGGGGAGGGTGGAGAGGCCTAGAGCGATGTCAGATCCTATGTGCTATGGGAGTTGGTTTGTTATCACTGAGAGCTCTAAAAGGTTTGCCCTAAGGGATCCAGAGTCTAGAGCAGTGGGTCCCACAACTCAAGCATAGGTGGGGAGAGAGAAGCATGGTAGGGACAGATCTGAGTGCCAGGCTGTTTCTCCTCTCAGTACCACCAGAGGAACAAGCCAACCTGTGGCTGGTTGAGGCAGAGATCTCCCCTGAGCTGGAGAAGCGACTGGGCCGGAAGAAGCGGAGGAAGAGGAAAAAGGAAGTGTGCCCCCTGGGCACAGCCCCTGATCGTCACCATGCTGCCCCCAGCCCTGCACCTGCCACCAGTGCCATTCCTCGGCTGCCTCAGCTGCCCCGGCAGAAGTGTCTAGTGGCTGCAGGTGCCTGGGGAGCTGGGGAATCCTGCCGCCAGGGAGCCTGGACCCTGGTCTCCAACCCCTTCTGCCCAGAGCCCAGTCCCCATCAGGATCCATTTCTCCCCAGTGCCCCAGCCACTATGGCCTGGGCTCATGGCCGCCGCCAAGGTCTGGGGCCCATTCACTCCCGCACTAACCTGATGGACGCGGAGCTTATGGATGCAGACTCAGACTTCTGAGCCTGCAGAGCAGGACCTGAAACAGAAAAGAGCAAAAAACATCACCGAGGCTCTGCTTCCTCTGAGTGCTTCCCTGAGATCGTGTCTTCCACAGAACCTATGGACCCTCCCCTGAGAGTTCTGTGTGTCCTGCTCAAAGCAGCAGGACCGTAGGAAAGAGCTGAGCGTTTCCATGGGTGACCTCACCCAGGGGTAGGGCCCTGGGGCTCAGGATTGTCCATTCTGCCCCACTAGCCAGAGTCTGGCTGGCAACATTGTCTCCAGCAGAGCTTATGGTGGGGCAATAATAGCAGAGCCTCAGTTGACAGTACCCAGAGTGGACTATGGTGGGCAAGGAGACACCAAGCCCATGTCTGGCAGATGAGGGATACCTGCCCTTCTCTGTGCCAATGGGTATACTTTCCTGGCACTCTCAGACCAAAAGTTTATTGTGTCCCTTGTCTAAAGTGGGGTATATGAGGTCAGAAGTGCCATCTCTGTAAAGGCCATAATCCTGCCAAACATTTGACCCTACCCCAAACTTGTTCTTGTTCTCCAGCAGCCTCCCCTCCTTTCCCTATCTATGGTTGTTTGGGACGCAGAACTGAAGTACACACATGTGCGTGTGCATGCATCCCTTTTGCCACTGAGCTCCGTCTCCAGGTGAGAGACTGGATCAGCTGTAGAGCCTTAGCCTGGCATGGGACAGAAGCAAGGCATCACAGGCACCACCAAGCCCCCGAGAGAGGTGTCATCCCTTCTTCATGTCCATCCACTGGGGATGGTCCCTTGGACTAGAAGGGTTACCCTGGGAAGCTGCTGTAGCTACAACCAGGGAAAAAACCTTTTTTCAACTTCCGTGACAGCTGAAGAGGAGATTCCCAGCTTTCCTGATCTCCAACCATGTCCCTAGCACCCTGTATTCAAGACCAGACAACAGGAAGTCTTAGAAGCTGGTTGGGTTCCACATTGGGGATAGGGCTGGGAAGAAGAAATATAAACAGTAAATAAAAAGGTTTTTGTATAAACTGGGGTGTGCTTCTTTTTCTTAACCCGGTCCTGAGCAAGTTATTTACTGGGTCTCTTGCCTTCCATGTCCTCAGGGGCTATTGAAGACTGAGCTTGGTGCTGTTGGGGTCAGGCTGGTGTCAGCTGAACATGCTGGCAGTGTTGGTTCTGTGTGGACAAAAGCTGCCTTGCCTGCATTGAGTGCAGTCTGCCATTTGCCCCTGGGTCTCTGACACTCCTGTAGGTGGGCATGGGTTCTGGTACTGACCTGGTGGACCCCACTCCCGAGGTCCTCATGCTTTCTACAAAGGACCCCAATCAGGCCAGCAGCATTCTGACCTGCAGCTTCCTCCCTGACCAGGCCGAAATCCAGTCAAGGCAGCCTGCTAGTCTCACGTCCTCCAAAAGTACCATAGGAGACTGGGAACTGGATTAGAGAGACTCAGCATTATGTGGCCACAAAGTCTGGAGGAGAAGAACAGGAGCAACATTGTGGAGTGTTGGCCAGGCCTTTTGGAGAGGCCTCTCCATTGCTGCTTGTGTCACAGGGACACGCTTTGGCCAGAGTCAGATTCCAGGAGAAATTTCCCTAAGAACACACTGATTCTGTCCTTGGTTTTTAGCACATGCATTATACTAATAACAGCTAGTTCTCTGAATGTTAGGTACGCTCCTGAGCATTAGCTATCAACTCTCACGGCAAACCTATAAGGCTCTCACACTCATTAAGACACGGGGGGGGGGGGACCACTGAGGAACACTGCTGGGCGTGGTGGCACACACATGTAATCCCAGCACTTGGGAGGCTGAGGCAAGAGGATCCTTGTGAGTTCAAGATCAGCCTGGGTTATGTAGTGAATTAAAGGCCAGTCTGAACTATGTAGTGAGACTGCCATCCCTCTGCCACAAAAAACAGACAGGCACAGAGGTTCAATAGCTTGCCCCAGACCCCACAGCAAAAGGTAATGCTGTTATTCAATCTAAGCGCTAGGCTTCACAGTTCTTGGCCACTGGATGCTGGCTTGGGTCCAGGAACTGGTTTTACAAGCTCAGCAAAGCAGAATGACTTGCACACATCCTCAAACCTAGTAATGATAAGACACTGGGCCCAGTATCTTCCTAACTTCCTGAGTCCGGGTCTTTCTATTTTCAGTTCTGACCTTCAAATGTTCCTATCCATATTTTTTGCATTGTGGCCCTCTGGCTGTGGCCCTCTCCCTTGTGCTTGCTCATCTTGTTCACTGTTAGGGTTATTTTTCTCAAAAATATGATTGTTGCTTTTTAGCTCTTATCAATGACAGTAAAATAAAACACATCAGTGTTACCTAATGACTTTTTCAAGGAATAAGGGAAAGGGCTGGGATTTACCTCAGTGGCATAAGTACCTGCCTTGCAAGTAGGCAGTCGTGAGTTTGATCCCCGTTACCCACCTAAAAAAAAAAGGGGGGGGGGAGTAGTAGATTTTCTTTTCTTCATCTCTAAGGCATTCAACTACCAGTCTCTCCCTCTGTCTGTCTCTAGGACGTCTACTTGTGTAAAGCTTCGTCGGGTTTTACCTTGGCCTTAAACCGCGGTGCAAATTTTCTCAGTGTGATCGCAGGAGCAGACCGTGACCACCAGAGGGCAGCGGAGTCCGGCTTTCACGAATGCCGGCGTTAGGCTGCGGTCGGACGGACCCCAGACCTGCCCCTCGACCAAAAAATCTTGCAGGATTTTTCAGAGGCGCCCCAGACGATTGAGCAACAGCGGTCACTTTTACCCAAAACTTCTCTAGATTCCTGAAGAAATCCCTCGGGGCCAAGAGAAGCTTGGTTTGAGGCTTCCCCGTGGCCACTGCCTTGAGATTTTCCTCTGGGGCGGGCTCTGCCCTCAGGGCTGCCTTGGGGCCTCCTTTCTACTCCGGAAGTCGGGCGTTCCGTGCTCCAGGTTCTGAGCCGATCTCTGCTGGTTTCGGCTTTCTTAAAGCCGTCTGTACACCGTCCTTCCCCTGCTGCTTTTGTTAAGAAAATGGAAAACAAAGAGAAAAACGAAAACCGGTCAAATGAACACCTATATTCCCAACACTCAGAACTGACTTTTTTTTCAGAATTGACTTTTAAAAATCATTTATCAAATTTCCTTCCAGCTTTTTTTTTTTAATGAAATGTAATCTATTTTGACTAGCACCCCTTCCTATTTATACTCTCCCTCTCCCACTTTCCCATTCCTTGAAAGCAAAACAATTGTTTCCTTCTCTTCTTTTGCGGGGGTGAAGGTAGGGATGGGGAATTGAACTCAGGACCTTGCATTGTCCAGGCAGGTGCTGTGCCACTGAGCTACATCCCTGGCTCTCATCTGTTTTTATATTTTCTTATATGCACATGCAGCCATCAATCCATAAACAGGGGAGGCAGGAGATCATGTCTCAAAAGGAATAAATAAATAAATAGTCCAGGCTGCCTTTGAACTCATAATCTTGTCTTGGTCTTCTGCAATGTTAGGGCTACAGGTGTGCCCCACCATATCCAGCATAAGGTTTCATTTTCATCTAAATTATGCATGATACAATTTTAAAGTCAAAATAATTCTACAAACGTCCTGCCCACACACACACCCCACACCGTGCTGCGGATTGAACCTAGGGCTTTATGGTAAGCATGAACTCTGCCACAGAACTATATGCTGCTCCTGTTGTGTAGGTCATCTTATGTGAAACAACTGTTTCCTGCACTGAGCACCAACCTCTGTAGATGATCCTTATGGTATTTATTTCCGTCCAAATCACATGATTATAATGGCCTCTTCCTTTTTTTTTTTTTTTTTTTTTTTTTTTTTTTAGTACTGAGGATCAAACTCACAACCTTGTGCTTGCCAGATAGGCACTTATGTCACTGAGTTAAATCCCTGGACCCCCTAAAATGGTATCCCTTGAGTGTTTGGTATTATCATTTGACAAATTCAGCTGAAATCCCTTTTGATCAGCAGCCAAACCCACAAAGAATATGGATTTAGTTTTTTGGAGATTTTTTGGTTTTGTTTTGTTTTCATATTGGAAACTGAATCCCTGGCCTTTGCACTGAGCTACATCCTCAGGCCTTTTATTTTTTATTGTGGGATAGGGTCTTATTGTGTCCCTAAAGTTTCCCAGGCTGGACTGTGCTTGAACTCAGGATCCTCCTGCCTCAGCCTTTCAGAGTGTTGGGATTACAGGTACTCACCACCACAATAGTTTAGCTTTTTTAAAATCTGCCTACAATACAGGGATGGGATGGTGGGATTAGCTAAAGGAGGAATTAAACTGTTAAGTTTTGGAAGCTGGAAAGCAAATGAGCTGTCATTTAGCAGACTTGTGAAAGCTGAAGTTTTAGTTAGTGGCAGGGAACGTTTTCATGGTAGCACTCCTGAAAGGTTCTGCATTGGAGGCAACCAGAACTTCAGAGGTGGAGCCCAGAGCAGGACTGATCCCCTACCCACTGCACAGTAGATGGCTGCTCCTGGTCAACTCTAATGGTCACTTTGTTCTCTGAAGAAAGTAGAGGTCTGTAGTATTTAGAGACATTGTCTTCTGTTACTATTCAAATATCTTTTTGACTGTAGCTTTAAAAAGAAAAGAAATCATCTCTTGGGTTAGGGTTAGGGTTAGGGCAGGCGCTTATGCCGCTGAGCTAAATCCCCAGCCCCGGAAGATTTACTCTTGCTTGCCACAATTCTGGAAACTGAGTGAACTAGATAAAGGGAAAAGGCGTATAGTTTAAATTTCAACAATAGTTTATAAACTTGTATTTAATCATCTGTTTCCATTAATTTTGTCATCAACTATACCTGTGGCCCTGGGCAACAAATCAGAAGTAGGATGGAGCTGAAAATGGGGGAACTGTATGACTTGAAAAACACTTTGACCCAGACAGTGTTGGTACTGGGATAAATATGGAATATGAATATCCATCTCTTTGTAGTGTTCCTGATGTTCCTATTTAAGAATTCATTCATCCTCAGTAATCAATTCTAAAGGCAGTTCAGGTAGGCAGCTGCTGCCCACAAGGTCCTACCCATGCCAGGTGGCTGTACTGCAGCTCCTTTATGAATTAATAGGAAGAATGAAATCAGTTATAGAACTGTTACTCTCTGCCCCAGCAGCTGGAGGATGAAGCACCTGTTTGTTTCTTTTCAACAGAAAGGAAATTCTGAAAGCCAAAAATGTGAAGAGAAAGCTTAAGAAGCTCTCGGTCTGGTGGACTTGGTGGCCTTGTAAAAATGATCAGATGCCTTCTAACACATATAGTGAGGCAGAAATTTGGAGATAGAAAAGAAAAGCCTCCATTCAAGGTAGGGTAACTCCACCAAGTGTCCAGATTTCCAAGTTTGTACTAACGTAGGAAAGGAGATGGAGGCAGGTGGTTTCTCCCTTTCTCCTCTTGGTGGGGGCGCTGGTGCTCCAATGACTCATATGGGTCCAGAGGCCCATATGAGTTGTCAGAGCTGTCACTCTCTGAACAGTTATAAAATATAAGATTCCTTGTCTCATTTTTTCTAAGACTAGAGAAAGAAAAATCCTGTCAAAAGCCAACTGAATTTTAATGTATGTTTATGGTTTTTCCTTGATTATTATTTACAAAAAATCTTATGGGCTGGGCATGGTGGCACATGTCTGTAAGCCCAATCAATTGGGAAGCTGAGGCAGGAGGATAACAAGTCCGAGGCCAGTTTGGGCAAGTCAGTTAGAACCTGTCTCAAAATAAAAAGGGTTGGGGACATAGCTCATGGGTCCCAAGTTCTATTCTTAATAATAAAACAAAATCCTTAAAAAAACCTACAACTTTGCTTCTTGCCTTTTAGCTCTATTTTAAAAATCATATGTATTTATTCTTCCTTATTACTAATAAAAGTTGTTGGAAAACAAAATTTGTTTTGAGAAGTGGGTCTTGGTATGTTGCCCAGATTGGCCTTCAACCCCTTCACTCAAGAGATCCCGGCCTCAGTTTCCAAGGAGTACATGCAGATGAGCTTACTCCTGACTGGAAAACAATTTTTGCACTGGGGA